ACCAACGAATAGTGGGATTGACCGTCACATTATAACACCCCCACGGCTGAAAGGGCGAGCATGTTTAGTGGGATGCGGATTCGAACCCGCGACCCTCAGATTGTGAGTCGAGCGCCTTATCCACCTGGCCATGCCGGGCAAATGGGGAAGTACAAGTGGTTAATGATATACAGTGGCTCTGGCAGTTATTAATGTCTTAGTATTCGTGTTCTATTGGAAAATTTCTTCTCGGCAGGACTTTGTATGTGAGTTTATTTACACATATGTTTTTAGGGAAATTCTGAAGGCACAGAATTAAATAGATGCGTATTACTTCAGATTACATATTTTCAAGATCTTGAAATATTTCATTTAGTTATTGAAGTGTGTCTTCTGCAACTTATAAAGGTAAGTAGAGCAACATGTTGAAAAGTAAATAGACAGTTTCTTAACATGTAAGACACCTGATGATGACAAAACCTTGTCGAAACGTTGTACATTTGCTGTTATGTTAAACTTATATTAAAGTTTTTCTTCATTACCCATTTAAGCCGCCTCCAGCCATTATTAGGTAGACAATAAGTTGCATAATTAGTACATGGCTGATATGTTTGGTGTGAAGGGGATTCGAACCCGCAGATTGTGAGTCGAGCGCCATGCCGGGCCTAGAAAACACTTAAAGAATTAATAAATGGACATCATAAGTTTTCAATGTTATTGTAGTGCTATAATCGTGTAATTAATGAAAGCGATAAACTTATTTACAATATTTAGGCTATAAAACAAGTCTGTTTAACTAAATAAATAGTTAATCTACATATTTTGATATCTTTTGTAACTTCTGAAACTAAATACGATTCTGGTAAATTCATACAACGCTCTGATCACTTTTCACGCCAGCCAATGTGTGATTTGAAATAAAAGTGGTCGAAAAAAAACAGTTTAAAATTTTATCTAAAATGACGTCCGTTCCTGATAAGTTGCGTTTAAATCTGGTGTTTTAACGTAAAAAACGTTCAGGAATGAAAAGAAACATATATTAATATTCGTCGTTACTTGCAACACAGGAAATTCAGAATAATAGATGAGAAACTTTAAATTTTAATAAATCAAGTCTTTGATCAAACCATACTTTATAAAAAAAAATAACCAGCATCCGGCGGTCGTAAGTTTGTTATAAGTTGCAGCTCTGCAAGTAAATAAAGACAAAGAACAAATAATAGTTTCTATTCGGATCATTTTAATTGATCTTATTATTCCTCATGATAGAAAATAATAAAAGTTAGTTTATCATCGAACTTGTAAGAATGGACTAAAGATTTAAAGAAATAGTTTCCCAAGGAATACTAGGATATAACACTCAAAATTTTGAGACTCTGTTCATAGGCTTTTAAATGTTATCTTTTTGGCACAGTATTTGTTCGTTTCGGGAACTACATCTAAGATTCAGCTACAACGTCTCTGTTGTTGGTTGTGTTCATTGGTTAAGAGTTTTCACACAGAATATTGTAGAAACAGAGAAGCATTTCGTAGTGTAATGATGTTTACGAAACTTGTAAAAAAAGAAAGAACTAATGACAAAATCGTTGAAAAACTCCGAGAAAGAAAAAGGCGGGGTTGTACCTATAAATATTTATAATTAGCAGAAGAAGGGTTCATAAGCTATAAACGACTAGAAAAGTTGATTACGTTATATTAAAGTACTTTTGGAGCATCACCACGACGTTATACTCCATATCATGGTTTATCTGATGGCTGTGTATCTTGACAATAGCCCTGAAACGTAGTTTCCAATACAAAAGGCTCTGTCGTAAGGCTGTAATGTCAAAAGCACATCACTACTTCCTGCTGCTTTCCATAAGTCATCTAGTGTAAGAGAAAGAATGTTTCCTAGCTCCCATTTTAACACTCCGATTGCACAGAAATCCATAGGCGCTGTGTCTTGCAATTTGATCAGTACGTTCTCATATATAATAGTATGTATATATATATCCCTTTCATTCTTCAGATGCTTACGATATGAGATATTTGAATGAATATATGCTATAGAAGCAGCTTGTGTGTACGTGACTCACATTGTTTTTTCAGACAAAAATACTTCTTGGTTATGTTCTGTACAGTTGACTGGAACAATTGGACGGCTTTAGTGTTTGTGTTCATAGATGCTCATCTATTACAAGACGCCGCACTTTGCTTACCACAACTGGGGTACGACTTGGTGCAGGTCTCTTTCTGAAAGGTTCTGGGTCCCCAAATTGATCCACATCCCTTTGTTTTCCAGTGTCATTAAGTATACGAGATATCACTATCTTTGACATTCTAAATCTCCGACTTGAGCACATTTCTATGATCTAAATATATGAATATTTTGCGTCGGAAAGGGCTGTTACATACCTTTCATAAATGCAAACTATCTCCAAATGTGTTTCTAAAACATGGGACTCCACAGCGACTTTATATCAGCTGTGGTTGACACATGACTTGTTGATTTGCATATTTAATATAGCCTTAATATAAAGTACTCAACCCTTGATATGATTAGTTAAACTTAAAACAAGGAATGAAAGTAAATTTAAGGATATGAAAATGTAGGATTCGTTTATGAATAAGAATTATGAAATATAAATGATTGAAGATAAAGTCAGAGGGGAAAAATATACTTATATTTTAAACATTTATGGATAAATTAAGACATATGGAGGCATATTCTACGTAGAACAAGTAACCTCTCTTAGTAATATATATATATTTTTTTCTTGTACAATGTTTAGAAGATACTATGAGAGAAAAGGGCTTAAGGTGACATTTATAATTGACACTATGAGAGAAAAGGGCTTGAGGTGACATTTATAATTGACACTATGAGAGAAAAGGGCTTGAAGTGACATTTATAATTGACACTATGAGAGAAAAGGGCTTGAAGTGACATTTATAATTGGCACTATGAGAGAAAAGGGCTTGAGGTGACATTTATAATTGACACTATGAGAGAAAAGG